ACCGGTTTTACTGAGACCCAACAAGACCATCCAGGACTCACCAAGTAGACTGTTCCAGAAGGAGTTGTATGTTGCGCTGCCGGTAACGGCTCCAAGTTTGGCTGGATTCTTCCTCACTGTGTGTACTGAGAAACCACCGGGCCCGGTCACTTCCACCTCCACCACATGATAGTCACTTAAACTGGGGCAGAGAGAGGTACGAAAAGTGTGATTCAAGCAGATGTGAGAGCCTGCATCAGATCAATCAGATGTTAAGAAAGACTCACGCTGTGTCAGACACAATCTCTCCCTGGACACCAGTAAAGCCGAGTGATCCTGCTGCCACTGCCGCTGCTGCCATGGTGTTAACGTTATTTGGAGCAAGTGGGCACAGCTCTGCCACTGAGCCTCTGAATAAAACACGTCTGCCCTCTTCCTCCATCCAATCAGAGAGGACGTCTCCTGTCAGCCGGAAGCAGGAGGGATGCTTGGACATTCTTATAAACAAAGCCTGAAAACAAGTCAAGAGAAAAAAGTTTATTAAGAACACAATAAGGTTTACCAGACAACACTCATATTCTGAGTACTAAAATAAAATAATAGTTAATTTGCCATTTTCTCTCTTAATTTTACCTAATTTTTTTATCTTGTAGAATTATCCTCAATATGCACAGACCAAAGTGTCACATACGTAAATGGAAAATGAAAAAGCAAAAGGACAACGGACGGACAACAGATATTTTTGAGGTCAGCATTTATCAGCTGTACAACACACTGTACAAGAATGCAAAATACAAACACAGACAAAAGTGGTCTTCTAGATTGATCTAATAGCTAATTTGGCATCAGTCAGTGAATTCCTTTATTGGGAATGTGTGCCGCTAACCCAACTGGACTAGTTGAAAACTATAGCTACAGGAGCTACAGCTGCACTTTCATTCCCAAAGTCTAAACATGCCTCAAACAAACAAATCACTCTAACACCACACCTGCACTACCCAAGTTTTACCTTTAAAGCCCCACTATCATTCAGCCTCTGGATGTCCTGACCTCCCCACAATGCACCACTGGGGACGTAAAGCGTCCTACCATACTGCTGAGCGGCCTGACGCAGCTTCTGGTTCAGATCAGGATCAGAAAGGGCAGAGGGAGAACCCACCTGAGAGGAGGAGACAAAAAAGGATGCCATAACTCTGTGATTAACAGTGAAAACTACTGAAACCTTGTGTCACCTTATTTGTTTTGGTTTGTGTGATGAATACATACAGCACCAACTTTATTTTAAGAAACAAAACAATACTACCACGTATAAATTCATACATATCAGACAGCTTGCAAACATATTGACAATCCCTAAAATATAGAAAACCAGAAAGACTGTAATAACTATAAATGTCCTCTTTAGAATAGACCAGTGTCCAGCCAATTGGAAATAAAAGTTTTACTTATAAACATGAACGCACCTTGTTGCCTGTTTTACTCTAATCTGATTTATTCATATTACAGCTGAGGAGCAGGAACATAAGAAGCCAACGCTTTATCAAGGCTAACCTTGAAATGATGCAGATTAAACAGCACGTCTCTGTTACACAGTCAGATGGGAATGGGGATTATATACTGCATATCTACATATAATGAAAACAATAGCTACAAAATCAAAGTAGTGACAGTGAAAAACAAATAAATCTCACCATGAAATGAGACTGAGACAAGAAGTGAAGCCCAAATTCTTTCACTATCTGTGGATGGCAGACCTCTACGATCACATCACATGGCCTGTAAAACACACACTGATTAGAAGTTTTAGAAAGATGTAACATTGGGTGCATGTTGTCTATGGCAGCACAGAGATAATATGAGATGCTAACAGTGTGTTTTGCGTATCGGTTTATGTTACTTGTGTGTGTGTTAGCACCTGTTTGCAAAGGATGACAGATCACCAAGTATAAGCTCATCAGAAACTAAACCTTTGAGCTTGTCAGAATTCCTGTTCCAAACGAAAGCCAGAGTTAGACCAAGAGCAGCTCCATCTTTAAGGATCCTCTCCACCAGGTACTGCCCTAAAGCACACACACACACACACACACACACACAGTAAGAAATGTACACTAGGATACTTATGGTGACAATACGATTTAGCAAAGGATTCATACGGATGTGTATCAGAAAGGGGTAGTTCAGACCTAAATGTCCGTATCCCACAATTCCAATCCTTTGGGAGGAAGAGCTGGTTGCCATGTCCTGTGCTGAGAGAGCAAACATGTGGAGAAAAGGGAACATTCACTTGACAGCACAAACCAAAACACACACTCATGATGTCTGCTTTTGACCTTACTTCTTATCTGATCTCCCTCAATCTCCTCTTGATCAGTGCAGCACTTGCCATTTATTGCTCCACTCACCAAATAATCTCACTCCCCTCTGGAGCTGCGTGTCTCACAACTTGAAGCAGAACAGCCGGCCCACGACTACAGGAATTGTGGGCAAGCACAGTACAAAGTTTGACTCAGAGAGGCCATAGTTAATCATTGCTAGTTCAAAGATGTGTGGAATTATCACACACTGGGCTCCTCCTCCATCTATTTCAGACACATTCAGAATGTCTTCTAATGTGAAACAAAGAACTACATTAAATGAAATATATAGCTTAGCTCTCTTGTTGCACAGTTGTTTTGTGTTGTGGCCCTCGCCTTTTTGAAGAAATCTAAATCAGTGTAGCATCTAGTGAAATCAAAATCAATTTTTTTCTTTATTAGAATTATTCTTTGATTAAAAGCCCTTTAAAAGGTGTCACATATCACACCTTACACATTCATTGGTTCTGTACAGCAGCAGCAATTTCTGCTTTCAAAATTGGATAGTGTTACTTGGTTGATGTTTCCAGCCTTGACATACAATAGTGACTCCATCAGAACTATTTCTCTTGTCACACGTAGTTACACTAAATTACACACAATCACTTACAATGTTTAGGAATATGACTCAAATGTGCCATAATTATTTTGTGATTAGCAACAATCATAAGACCTCACTGTAAAAAAATAAAAAATAACCTTTGTCATATATGAGTTTACTACTGCTTCAACTTTGCCCCTCATGTGTTGATGTCACCAATATATTCAAGTTGAAGAGGTGAAAGGTCAGTTGTTGCTCTATGAGAACTCAAAACAGGGAGAACATTGATTATCAGAGTGCAATCAGACAGCAAGAATCGGTCCAAAGTTCACTTTTGTGAAACGCGAACGGACTGAGAGACACGGCAGAGATTCGAGGCAAGGGAGACGAGAGAACAAGACAAGAACATCTGAGGATTAGGTGTTGGTAACCAGGCCAACAGTAAAGGCAGAACTGCAAAGACAGAAGAAGATAGAAGGAGACTAATAGGACAGCTTCATCTGCTGGAGCCCACAGCAGTGCTGACTCTGAGACAATGGACATCCTTGAGACACATGCCTATGACAGGCGGCAGAAAAGAAATATGGTACCTACAAACCATTTACAGTCATTGGTCAATAGTTGTTTATGTTACTTACTACAACTTTCTTCATGTGGATTGTCAAAATTTTCAAGATTGATTGTCAAAAATCATAATTTCAGCCTACTCTTGAAAATGTATGTAATATCGTGTCTCTCCCTTTCTTTCTCTTCATCCCTCTCTATCAGTCCTGTGCTCTCCTTTTTTCTCTCTTGCCTTTCTTTTTGTCCGCAGCTCTGTACTTCTACTTGTGGACTCCTGACTTGCCTGCGTCCATCACGTCTGCAGGTGTCAAATCAGCACCAACGCTCCTATTGGCTGCAGCAGTGCTGAGATGGAACGGAGGTCAGAGTGTCCTGGGTGTGGTGGGAGGACTGGTCTTCTCCGCTGTTGGTGACTGCTGCCTGGTATGGCCTGAGCTTTTTCTGCATGGTAAGAGCCTTGTTTGTACATGAGTGAAGGACAAATTGGGGCATTTTAAAATGCAAATTAAGCTGCAGGTTGGGCATTGGCTATTCTCACAGTGAAATCAATGCTACAGGCCTAATACTTATGTGCATCTCATATATAGTTGATAAATGTAATCACAATTACATTTAAAGTGATCAGTAGGTTCCCAAGTTTTGCATTGTGGATGTACTGTATTTATTTTACTTCAGTATGTATGTCCTTCTCACTCATCTGTTTCAGGAATGGGTGCATTTGCTGCGGCTCATCTGCTGTACTCAATCACCTTCCTCTCCAGTCGTTATGCACCATATTCCTCTTCCTCCTGGAATCGTTTTCTATATCTGATCCTGGTTATGGTGGGAGTAGGTTTTTACGTCTACATTTATCCATTCCTGCAGAAGGTGCCAAACTCAGAAATGCTAATTCCAGCTGTGGGGATCTATGTTGTCTTAATTACTCTAATGGGTGCATCAGCCATCAGGACCCGTCACACAGCAACACTGTTAGGTAGTTTGTCTTTCATGGTGTCTGACATGTCACTAGCTTTGCAGGTTTTCAAGGTGATAGCACCAATTGAGCACGGGCAAATTATTGTCATGGTGACATATTATTTGGCACAGCTACTAATAGCTGTGGGAGATGTAAAGGCATGGGAGAACAAGGATGACTTTGCAAAATGGAAGAGGTCCTAAACAGCATTCTTGTGGCATCCCTAAAGTTTTAAGTATCTCCTTAACCCTGGTAAAATACTACAACTGTCTATACGTACTTTTTCTAGGCCTTGGAGTTTTTAATAGGAACCCATCAAATACAGGAAAAGATGAACAGAAGATGAGTTCTTCTGCTGGTTAGCACTTGACAGCTACTGACTGAGTTCAAAAGATGGAGTAAAAGAGCAGCTTGCAACTCTTACTATGGGTTTTCAGTTTGTATTAGATTATATTCCGCAGTCTACAAACAAGATTGAAAGAAACTCAATAAATATCAGTTTAGAATAACATCTGTATTCTGTGATTTGTGCCAAAATATTTTAATCAGTGACATCCATGTTTACGTGTAGGTGGTGCATTTGGTGTCAATGTTTTCCATTTGTATGCTAGCCATTGTATGTATATAAATACTCCAACTTTATTTGTTAATAATAAATAAATATGGTGTAAAAAATAAACAATGATGTCCATAATTCTCAGTTACTTTATATGAGACAACTGACTAAAATAACTCGGAGACTTCAGACAAATCTAACTTACAACAATTAAAAAATAGTTGTATATGTAATTAAATTAACATTGGGAGGTAAACATTAACAAATGAAAAAGAAAATACTTCACATTCTACCTTTGATGGAGATGTTTGGTATTACATTTAAGATATAAAGAACTAAAAACACTGGACTAAAATAACAGCTGACTTCAAAAAGTACTTTATACATTACAGTTATTTACATAGTAAAATCCAGTTCCTGGATTACATGCAAAATATGGACAGCATCTGTCGCAACAGATAAAACACTGCTTAGCATCCATGAACCAGATCATGAATGTCTGTTACATCTTTGCACAATGATATCAAAACAAGTTAGACTTTAGCGATCCATCCCATTGTCATCTGACTGCTGCCCACGGAAACACGCAACCCTCAAACGCTCACAGAAGTCCAGTTCTTCCTGTTGGAAACAAAAAAGTTACTTTAAAAGTGGTGTTATGATTAAGGCTAATCCTAGACTATGGATTTGTTCAATTTAAATGGCCTAGAATTAAAAAAAAAAAAAAAAAACTTGAACCCAGTTTTACCATCAGGCTCAAAGACATAGGAATTACCTGACTTTCTTCTTTTCCTTGGAGTTCTCTGGAACGCTGTCTGAGAAACTCCTCCAGACCCATAGCAGGATTCCTGCAGTCTTTGAGACCCTGTGGACAGTCCTCCACCAAACTACACAGACATCAGAAAGGTATAATTACTAATGTGAACCATGAATTAATGTCAACTTGTGAGTGATGAAGACTGGGAGGTAGACAGGGTTTCTTACCAGCAAAGGGCACCGAGCACATGTTCATGGAAAGGTGAGTGCGGTGTGCGGAGAACAGATACCAGCTGCTGTACCATACCCATGGAAACAACTGTGTCTGTAGGAAGGAGGAAACAGATAGATGTCAGACCCAAAAAACAGGTGTCATTTTTATTATACTAATCATTCTAAGTTTGCCCAGTGAGAGGCCCAGTACACAACTAGGGTTACAGTGTCTGTTTAGCATCTGGTGATCAGAGCTGAAAGCGGGCATACAGGGAAGGACGGTCCCAGGATGCCCTAATTTAACACCCAAACTAACAGATCTGTTGTGGCTCAACTTAGTGTGGTTCATCAGTTAACAGTCTGGATTTTTTTTGCCTTTATTTAACAAGTAAAACCTTAATGAAATTAAAAATCTCTTTCAGGATCAAAAAGATATGCAAATATAAAATCATGCATAACATAGATATGATAAAAGAATGACAATTAACAACAACAAATAAATAAATAACCTAACTAGCATCTTAAACATAAATTTACATAGATAGATAAGGTGGTTGTAACCCAAGATGGAGGTTACAGTGAACCAGCTGACCTGGGAGTACAAAGAACAGTGATGTGTGAGAGCTGTACTATTAAAATACCACATGTGTTTACTGACATAACCAGCTGATAATGTTCTACAATTAAACATTGTGAAGTGGTTAACCTCGTCCTCCTCTGCCAAAATAAATGGAGGTCCCTTCCTGACTAAAGCTACAGAAGATGAAAACTCCAACAAATTTTACTTGTTAACTCATTTAAAGACACTATCCTATCACAGAGACTCGTCTTCCAGTGTTGAAGAGCGACTAAACCTCAAACAAAAACTAAAAATCCACTGTCCTGTTTAAATGCCTACTCATTCATACCTTTCTGTTCGGGATGTGAGGTGAGCAGGCTGAGAAGAAGGAATGCCGACTTGGTTCTGAGCTTCTCGTTCTCCGACTGCATGCCTCGCATCAGCACCGAGAAACCATCGTGGGACAAGAATGCCTGAAGTCCTGCCTCCTGCTCTCGAACCAGACCTAAAGTCACAACAGGACACAGTTACAGTTTTGTTCTGAGGTAAACAGCTTGAATGCAAACAGCATTACAATCTCTTCCAGTGCTGTCTTAAAACCAATTATGTTTCCCATTAAGCTGCTATTCTACATCAGTACTAGCTAGTTTCAAGTGGACAGCATTGGGCATTAGACAATCTCCGTAACGAACTTTTGTAGCTGTCTTAGATACTCACACGACACAGCGTAAAGGGCTTTTACTCTGACGGTGGGGTGGGGGTCTGAGTCTGTCAGCTGCAGTAGTTTCGGCAGAGCCCCAATGCTAAGCAAGTGGACCTGCACCTGCGGCATGTTCTGGGCACAGGAAGCAATGAGCTCAGCGGCACGCCACCTCAGCCCACTTTGGACATGACACAGATACTGGGAGAGGCACAGTTCCAGTCCGCCAAGAATCATGAGGTCTGTGAAGCAGAAGGAAAGCAGACACAGTGAGGAGAGACAACAAGTAGTTTTATCCATAACCTCTATCTAGCTAGTGACTCTACGTCCATCCTAACATCTAATACAATAACACTCAGTTATTACAAACCTCTGGCATTGTCCAGGTTCTCACACAGCTCTGACAGCACCTCAAAGGCTGATTCCCGCTCATCTTCATCCTCCTCATCCCTCTCTTCCTCTCCTTCTCTCTCCGTTTCACTCATTCCTTCTTTGCATAAGACAGCCAAGCACTTCTTCATCTGCTCCACTTCGTCCATCTGCCCTTTGGTGACTTCTGCGAGAGCTTCTCTCAGCCACATTTTCCTCTGTAACAAAGAAATGTACAAGAATGTTTGACTGAGCCCAAACAGACACACCGCATGCTGTAAGACTAAGAACAGTACATGTGGCTCACATCATGTCTCCTTATGAGACTGCTCTTAGATCCTGACGAGAGTAACTGAGGCGGACTAGAAATGAGCCAGCAAGGTGCGTACGTGTAAGGCTATCCGGCCTAGAGCTGTAATTATTAGTTACTTAATCTATTAGTTGCCAACTACTTTGATAATCGATCGTTTTGAGTCATTTTTTAAGAAAAGAATTTCCAAATTCTCAGATTTCTGCTTCTTAATTGTAAATATATTCTGATTTATTTTGTCCTCTATGACAGTAAACTTTGGGTTGTGGACAAAACAAGACATTTGAGGACAACAACATGGACTTTGGGATGTTATGGACAAAACAAGTCCAAGTCCACTAAGCGATCAATTAATCGCAAATTAACAGACAATGAAAACAACCGTTAGTTGCAGCCCAAATCTGCACAAAGCCTTCTCAGATGTGACACTTATAGTTAACAGGTATTTACCTCCTCTGACATGGGTTCAACAGGGGCAGGGCCCTCTGCGGCTGACCCAGCGTCCACTGCCAACTGCAGGACCCCCTGCAGGTTCTGGGGATATCTCCTGTCCTGTCTGTCTTCTGCCATGATGGACACAGCTGAAGAGAAGAACAAGAAAAATCAACAAGACAAGGACAACTGGATCTCAGACATGATGTGCAGTAGCAGTGGAGAGGATATGAGACTCACAGTAGTTCACCTGAGTTTAAAGATACTAACACTACTCTGACACAGACACAGAAGCCCCACATAAACCTAGCGTAGCACAACTAGCTACAGTTTCTTATGTAGCTACGGGTAACACTGAATCTCGTTGACAAAATGCGTTTATTCCCAACTTACCTTTTCAAGAGTCTTATAAAACAGCGTTGAATGAATTGACACGATGTCTCCTTTTGAGCTCAGAACAAGTGAACTCCCCTTTTAAACACAGTAACATGAATGTGCTAGAACTTTCTGGCTAGCTGCTCTCTCGAGTATCAAGGAGGCTGCCATGCTTTACCGTAAACTTCACAACAAACGGGAAAGTTCAGTGTTTTTACAAAGTGTCTTTTCTCATTTCAAAGTCATTTCAGTCTGCACATTTTTTTTTACACACATTTAGTCCAGCAAAATGATAATACAGTGAAACTGACAGTAATACGATCTTAGAATTTAAAGGGCACAAAATCAAACTCTGACATATTAGTGTGTTTACGGTAAATCAGTGACGATTGTACGCGCGACGTTCAGAGAGTATCAGTAAAAGTGAGAGGAGCACGCGTGAGACAACATTAATGTAAGATAGTTATATAAATATAACTGTATATAATTTGTAGTGGACACATGATTGATAAACAGTATAAATATACTACATTTAGATCTTACCACTTGGACAACAAAATCTGTTGAAAGCAAGTGAGAAAGTAGTTACAGTACATTTTTTTTTACAATGTAACAGAGAAGAATGTAATGCGTAATTATTAGTACTGTTATTATTAGTAGTAGTAGTATTATTGTTATCAGTAGTATTTTATTTCTACCATACCGTTGTATGTTGCCTAACTCTGCCTCCTGGGCCGACAGCTTCGGCACCGACCCGTTACTCTCTTGATCTGTTTCTTCTCTTTGGCTCGTCCGGCTATCCATCCAAGATGGCGGCGCTTGTGGGTCTGCGCGCATGTTTCTCCGGTAAAACTGTTTAATGTTTGTGTAAAATGTGATTGCAGTTGCAACAGTTCGTTGATTGCTAGCAGTCTGCTTTGTTCTGTACAACAGAACATGTTGTTGCGTCTGCACAGATATAAAGTATCAGGCCGACAGAGAGGATGGTGTCGATAGCAGAGCAAGGTCACGTTACCAACGAGTGGTAGCTAACGAGGTTGACAACAGACTGATGAGTGATAATTGAAACTAATTAGTATAATAGACAGCTACATAGGTACCGAAGCCCACTTTTTGGACACATAAAAGCAGCTTATTTGAAGGAGAATGTCGAGTCTTTGTTTCTGGTTCAAACTGGTTAGCTTTATGTTAGCTGCTGCAAAGCTGATTTTAGCAACCTGATGTAACCTGTGTGGTTGTTTTAAACTGATACAAAACCCAATTCCATCATGATAAACTACTGATGGACTTTGATCAATGCAGGTGCAAAACATCTGACGCTTTCCAGACCTGCTTATGTGACAGTATGTGAGAGTTTTTTAAATATAAAATGACAGTGATGTTTTATCATGTTACTTACTTGCATAACTTTTGGATGAGATTTTGGATGGGCAGTCAGCATGTGTGGGACACTCAGTGCTAATAGGGTATGGGTGGCATCGCTATCAACAGATCTCTTTGTAGGCAACAACAAAATGTTCATTCATTGACAGCCAAGTTGAGCGGATGTGGGACATAAATATATTTTTCATTCAGACTGAAGAGGAAGAGCAGAGTTTAAATGTCTGTCATAGACTGAAAATTCCTTCTCAAAGTTGCAGTGCTTAAATTGTGACAAGAAATGTTTACACATAGTAGTGGAAATTACATGAGTAACTACGCAGGGTTATCCTGTCATAAACTAAGTTTATAAAACTCTCATATTTTGATTCCCTCTCCTCAGCCCTTCAGCTTACTTCGCCAAGCCTCGTGCACAGCTCCTTCAAATTGGTGAGTATTCACACAAACTTCAGTCCACAGACAATTTAACATGGATCGTGTAACTTCTTTTTTTTATTATTCTTTGGCTTGTCTTTGTCTTGCAGTGTGCTGTGCCCCTGAGTCGGCGGACCTTTGCTGCAGAGGCTAAGAAGACATACAGCAGAGAAAAGCCCCATGTGAATATTGGAACAATTGGCCATGTTGATCACGGCAAGACCACCCTGACTGCAGCCATCACGAAAGGTAGAATCACATGATGTCCTGGTTTTACGCTTACAGTGGCCCAGATGATTGTAAACACACTTTAACAAACATACAAGAACTCATGGACAGTACATACATGTAATACAATACATTTTTCTAGTTTTGTGAAACAAGAAATCAAAAAAATCTGACCTTTGTGTCTTTTTGTCTCCTCAGTGCTCTCTGATGCTGGTGGTGCAAACTTTAAAAAGTATGAGGACATTGACAATGCCCCTGAGGAGAAGGCAAGAGGAATCACCATCAACGCCTCTCATGTAGAATACACCACAGCCAACAGACATTATGCTCACACAGACTGTCCTGGTCACGCCGACTACGTCAAGGTAATCTGCTTTACTTCTACAAAGCACCAGCCTGTCCTAGAAAGCGCTGAACATGAAGCAGCTTTGTTTTTATTTCAGCTGATCAGAATCTTTGCTTTTCTTCAGCATTTCACGCTTATTAATTTACTAAATTCAAAACATAATTAATCCCCTTTAATCACACCAATCTTTTTCCTTTTTCAGAACATGATTACAGGCACAGCTCAGATGGACGGCTGCATCCTGGTGGTGGCGGCCACTGACGGCCAGATGCCTCAGACGCGAGAGCACCTCCTGTTGGCCAGGCAGATCGGTGTCGAGCATGTGGTGGTTTTCATCAACAAGGCCGACGCTGTGGAGGACAAGGAGATGGTGGAGCTGGTGGAGATCGAGATCCGCGAGTTGCTCACGGAGTTCGGCTACGATGGCGAGAACACACCCATTGTAATAGGCTCAGCTCTCTGCGCCCTGGAGGTGAGAGGACCGCTGGCAGTCATCTGTTTTACAATTCAGACAATACTCTGAGCTACTTGGTTTGATCAGTTAAGTAAAAGTAATTGTCCAGTCAAAGAATTGTGGATCTGTAATGTGAGGCATGTTGGATGTGTTTTTATCCCTTTCAGAGCAGAGAGCCTGATCTTGGTGTGAATGCAGTGATGAAACTGCTGGAGATTGTGGATTCTTACGTTCCTCTGCCCAAAAGAGAGCTGGATAAACCTTTCCTTCTGCCCATTGAAGGGGTTTATTCCATCCCAGGTGTGAAAAAAAAACAAAAAAACAGCACACACTTCATCTCAACACTGAACTGTACAGTTAAACCCAATTAGGAACAATATTTGTGGCATTAGTTTCTGCTAATACATCCATAACTTTAATGTAGTTGTGTTCAGTGGTGAAATGCTATGACTGCTTTGCACTGCTACCTCTAAGCGCTGTATCTCAGAAGTCAGAGTTTGATTCAAAATTCTAATAAACTGTGTGTCAATTGTGTCCTTAAGGTAGGGGTACGGTGGTCTCGGGCACTATGGAGAGGGGTATCATCAAGAAAGGAGACGACGCTGAATTTGTGGGCTTCAGTCGCTGCTTCAAGTCAGTGGTTACAGGTGAGTGAAAGAAAACTCGGAGGAGGAGCTCCTGTGCTGTTTACAAAGCACAAAACATGACAAAAATACAGGCAGGTGACAGTAAAGCAAAATCCTGAATGAATGGACACATTTTACAAATGCAGATGCTTCCATACGGGGTACAAGGGTTTACTAAATGGTTGGATATGAGTGCGTAGATGATAAGTGTCTGATCTACAAAACGCTGACGAGGACTAATATTGGTGTGTACAAAGTTACGCAACGCTGTGTGAGTATCGGTGTATACACAGGAAATTCACCTCGCTGTCTGACCTGTCGGGTTCAGGTATCGAGATGTTCCACAAGTCTCTGGACCGGGCCGAGGCAGGAGATAACCTGGGCGCTCTGGTCCGAGGACTGAAGAGAGAGGATGTGAGGAGAGGGATGGTGATGTGCAAACCTGGATCCATCATGCCCCACCAGAAAGTCCAGTGCCAGGTCTGAGAGCAAGTTGCAGACATTTGTTATTAATTAACTTGTAATCTTTTTGAACAATGTAAATGGCTCATTTTTAACTGTTGATAGGCAGGTTAAAAAGGAAAGGAGCATTTAGAGAGGTACTCCACCCTAAAGCGTGTTTTTAGAGCTGTAAACTCAATTATATGACTATACTGTGATGAAACACGTCAACTCTGGTGTTAAAATGTACATTATTACCAAATTTATTTTAAAAAAATGCAATTTGTGGGTTAAAAATAACCCTTTATGTTTTACAGCAAATGCTGAGATGGAGTTGACCGTTGGGCCAACTTTACGTTATAACATTTATATTAAAATAAACAGTCTCTAACAGTATCCTCTAATCAGAGGAGGGCAGCCCACCTTCCCTAGCCCCCGCTTTGAGTGGGAGTCTTCAGCAGCTGCTCATTCGCTCTGACTAACAGCTGTTTCTGCCCACGTGTCAGGATCACACACTAACGTACTATTCATAGTAAATATGACACCAAATTGAGTATGTAGTGCATTTCAACTGTATGTGCAAGAAATGCCCGAAATATTTATTTTGAATATTTGCTTCGAGTTGATTTAACTGTGTACATTGCAAATTACCCCCGCTGAAGAACCAGTGGGGGTAGCCACCACGCCTGCTTCGAAAATCCACTACTTTATAAGATAACTTATTTAGACAAACGCTAAAATAGCTAACGTATCGACAGTAGCTGCTTATTACTGCCCACTCCATCTGTGATATTAACATTTATCTTAATTAAGGGAGGGAGCTAGCAGAATTGAAGGGGTGTAGTTACACTTTAAAAGAAAAGTGGTGGAGGTTCTAAGTATTTTGGCTGGAACATAAAATAATAGAAAACATGAATAGTTTTGTGAGGAGTCAGGATGTAACTAAAACAGATATAAAACAATATGTGATTTTGTGTGTTTTTTATAAGTTTTTGTACTTTCTGTATTACAGGTGTATATTCTGAGTAAGGAGGAAGGAGGCAGACACAAACCGTTTGTCACAAACTTCATGCCTGTCATGTTCTCTCTGACCTGGGACATGGCCTGCAAAGTCACTCTGCCCTCTGGCAAGGTGTGTGTGTGTCTGTCAGTAAATGGATGTTTGTCCACAACAGATATTATGGTTATGGTTATGTTTCTGGTCAAATTACCTCTTTGTTCACATAGAGCAATGCTATAAATTGTGAGAGCTCTGTGTATGCACACCTGTTAACAAAAGCCTTTCTAACTGGGGTTTGTGCCCTCTGCTGTACGGTGCTGTGTTACATTAAAATCCCAGTTTGATACCATGCAAAAGTAGAACATACAACCCCAATTCACACGCGACTAATATCACACAACCTTCGTCATTTGTGGTGGAATTCTTACTTTAAAAATTACAGACATGGCAGATTCGCATGGGATTAAGATTACAGACAACCTAGTCCCATGCGAATAGGGCTTCAGCATGAGTTTCTCTCAGTGAGAATATGGTGTTAACATACACAAGTTTCCAAAAAAAAAGTTGAGCTTTCCAAACATAAACTAAGCTATAAATTTGTTACATTAAAGTAAACAGTGTGGTACAACAGCAGGATTTTGAAGAACAGTAACCACTCTCTTGTCTTTCAGGAACTGGTGATGCCAGGCGAGGACACCTCTTTGACGCTCACGCTCCGCCAGCCGATGGTTCTAGAAAAAGGCCAGAGGTTCACTCTGAGAGACGGAAACAAAACCATTGGCACCGGTCTGGTCACGGACATCCTGACCACTACAGCTGAAGACCAGTGGTGGAGCTGAACAGAAATTTTGCAGGGGGGGTCAGGGAGGGAAGATGGGACCCTTGTCTGTGTCTGGTCAAATCAAATAATGATAGAAATATTCAAATACAGTTCATAAACCCATGCACAAACGTAAGATAGGAGAGGATTCGAATAAATGCATGGCTCTGTTGTGCAGATCCACCCAACCAAAATATTTGTCGATGTTAAACACTGTCTCTGCGTTAAAAAGGCCAGACTGTCGAAATTATGTCATTTATGTAATAAAATGTATTTAATATAATCCTTTTGTTTTGTGGTATTAACTATTGCGAACCAGATGATTTTCAAAAAAACAAACCTAAGAAAAAAACAAAATATTATAAATGAGCAAGACATATGTTGCTATGTTACATTCATGCAGATAATAGATAAAACTAACTAACACTTGGAATTGGATACTACTGCATGTTACATTGCATTAATAGGCCACATGAGGGCAGCAAGTAGGTGCTTCAACAGCCTTTTTGCACATCTATTGACTGATTATTAATTTTAATGAACAACATACAGGTACAGTATGTTGCTCAACTATGTTTTTTTGGTGAGCCATGAAAATGAGTTTAATCCATTAAAACTAGTAACAAATGTTTTTGTTAATCTACAGTTTGTTGTTGATATATTTATGATTATCAACTAGATGTATCCTGAGAGGTGATGGATTAAACAGTCTCTCCTTGTCCTGCCTGCAAGGTCAGATAAAGGATTATTTTATTTTAAAAAAAAGATCCCCTCCAGACATATATTAAGACTTATATACAAATAATCAGCTTGGAACAGTAGTGTGTTTGATATGTTCACTCCATAGAAAGATTTAAGAAAATTTAAATCCATAAAAATATATCTACTCCTTCTACCTCATTTAAATGATAGATTCTATTAATATGCAGATGTTGATGTCTAAAGTTTTCCTGCTGGACACAAGATGTCTCCTACTTCACAGTCCATTTTCAGCAGATGTGCACTGGTGGCTTCAAGTTTCTACATCACACTGTACAAGTTGCATACTGAACCAGGACTGACTTCCTAACTATTTGTGATGTCAGAATCCTGCTCAAAAGCCCCCCCCCTTAAAATCAGATTTTCAGTGAGCACAGAGAAACTTTCAGCAGATGAATGTGAAAACAAACTGCACATACATCACTCAAACATCATACTGTAGGAAGCAGAAGAATAGCTAAGATTGACTTAAACATACTTTAAAAAACAGCTACTGCACATTTAATGAAATATCTGATAAAAGGTTAGTACAATTAATAGTGAAAATTTAAAATAGATATATGGATGTATATACGTATAATAAAATTATTGCCACGACCAAAAAACAACACAATATGGTACTGTACTATAATAAATCTAAAGCTTGAATCATGATCAGCTGAGAATCACAAAATGCTTATTTTCCATTTATAATAGACCATTTTCACAGCAGCCATTTTGACATAAAAGAGTAGGGTAAACACAGATGTGGTACTAATTAAGCTTCTGTTCCATTCAGGTCAAACAGAGTCAGGGTGCTGCTGTTGTGCATGTTGGCTCACTGGATAGGCCCTGCTACACTAAATGGAACAGAACTGTGATTAGTGTCATTGGTAAGACTTGTGTTTATGTCAAAAAGGGTCTTTTATAGATCAGTCTGATTTAGCCTTTCTAGACCAACCCTAGATAAATGTCTAAAGGAAATCCTCTGAGTTGTACTCTTGGTGGGTGCTGAGCTTGGATCCAAACCCACCTGTGATCTGGAAATCTCTGCTGTGGCTGAATCTTCGACCTGGCCTCTGTAGAAAAAGTGGCCACTACCTAGGAAACAGAAGTTGGTTTCAATAGTCGACACACTTCATCACTCTGCCTGCTCCTAAATATGAGGAGGACAAGAATATGTAAATGTACATACCTGATAGCCAAGCATTAATAAAGAGGACTCCAACTGCAATGTTATACTTCAAACCATAAAGGGTGACTCCTCCCTAAGGAAAAACAAAATACATCAAAGTATACTTTATTATTTAAGACTCATACAACATATTATGTTCTTTTACATAAGCTAACAAAGTCAGTAATACACTAGCAGTCAGAGATGGAGACTTGAGTCAGTGTTTTGATGACTTGAAGCTGACTTGAGACTCGACTCGGAGTTGGAAGTGAAATACTTGTGACTGGACTTGGATGACTCAAATGACTTGTCTGTGCTCATTTTATATCTTCAGTAATATTACCGTATATGTAGTGTCTGTGTAGCAGTACGGTAAGCCAGCACACACTGGGAATGGCATTGTTAGAATTGGATGACTACCGGGCCAGTCAAGCTCCTCATGATGCTACCTGATGTTCGTGCCTTTGTTTGTCATTTGAAGATTCATTCAGATCCAGAAGTGTCTGTGAGGGGTTAATTTTAACTAACATTAGCTAGATACAATGCATTCTTTAAACAACCATGTATTTAGCTAATGTTACCTTGATAACGACTGATATCACTAACAGTTAACATTCTGTCATGCTGTTCATTTCTCACTCAATGAGGAGATAATATGATACAGTTCATCGCTCCAGTAGAGACCCACACACTTGAAGAATCTGACACTGCTGTGGAGACTGCTGGTGGAACAGAACCGAAGACATTTTAAGGTGGGTTTTCCATTCATTGTCGCCCATCTCAATCTCGTGTAAAGGATTCAAATATCACCTTCTGCCTGCATGGTGCTTACCAAATCTGTAAACTTCAGAGGCCAGAAGAGTTTATCAGTGTGTTTGGAAATAGATGACGGTGCAACCGATGATTGAATCTGAATGAATTGTTTAGCAGTGTTATAATTGTTCTGCAGTTAAATTCTAACAGATTGACCTACCGAAGGCATGGACAGTAGGTCATCAGGAGATACAGTGACATCATTTCGAAGCTGGAGAAGCTGATTATCACCTTTAGTGTGGAGCTTGAAGAGCTGGAAGAGGTGAAGAATTACCATGAACAGAAAAAACCAGTCAATATTCGCCACTTTGTATTTATAGAAACCCTTGCATGGCTCATGATTCTGTGCTTACTTTCTGCATGGGCTCAATCAAACTCAGGTCATATACCATGAAACCATCCACACCTGCCTTGATCTCCAGCAACTTTAGTCTGAGAGGTGGGAGAAAACAGTGTCACAGCAGCCAGCATATTTCAATATAAAAATGCAGGCACTGTCAACTCAGCATAGGATTCAAACATCGGCAGTGTAAAGGTACGCTGATGATTCTGTATACTATGTGCTTAATTAACATGATGTAACAATAACGGGTCTATTTGTAAGGCTATGTTGCTTTTCAGGGGCTGAGAGTGATAATGGCTCTCTGACAGAAAGCGCATCCACAATAAATCCTGTTACTCAGTGAATTTGGATTTTCTGCACTGCAATGATTTTAGCTTTCAGTCTCATGCACGTGTGTGTGTTAACAGTAATGCTGCTACCTGGTGACAGTATCCAACACTCTCCTGTAGGATTCACTGAGCGGGTCTTGAGGCAGCAGCAGGGCAGCCATGCCTCCTGTGGCCAGTGCTCCCCTCCGGTGACACGTCTGAACCAACAGGTCCATGTAGCTGCGCAGAAATCGCTTCTCCATGTTGACGTATTTACTGCGGTCGGGAAGGAGGAAGGCCTGTCGGTGACCTGGAGGAGAAACATCACCTCTTGACTTCAGTGAGACAGAGATTGCCCTTTTCACCATAACTGTATGTGGCTACAATTTCCTTATTGTAAAAGATTATTATCAATAATATATAATATAATGTATAAAATGCACACCATCATACATACAGTATATGAACACTAATTCTGACATTACAGTTGACCCTGGACCCTACCTCAAGCAATGATTGGGTTCAGAGGCTCAGTGGAAAACACAGAGGTCATAGGGATGTCAGGAGCAGCCAAATCAGGGTCATAGTGAGGGTAAACCCAAGCAAACTCAGTTTATCCATGAGTTTACTCTTCTATTTTCAACTCTATCAATCAATGACGCAGAAACAAACTGGAGTTTACCCAGCTCTGCATTTACCACTACACCCCTGAGCTAAAAGCCACAATGTCTCACTCACCGAACTTATTGACAAAGGAGGCAGAATAATCCCAGATGCCACAGTTGAGTCCTGCTGAATGGTCCCGCAGCTCGTAGAGAATCTCCTCCATCTCGAAGGCTGCTAATACATTTTCAATCAGCACCGTCGCCTTGATGCAGCCCAGTGGCAGGCCCAGCTACACACACACACACAC